GTCCAAGATTATCTTCTGTGTCTGTGTTAATTGGTTTCCCTTTTCTTTGTTGAAGAGGGTCTGTGCAATCCTTCTGCCTAGTCCGCCATCTTGCCCCGCCCCCCCATCATTGTCTTCTTAATAGCATGACGTTGTAAATTAATGCCTTTAAAAGAAATAAATAGTTGATGACAGTTTCTGAATTTAGTACATTTGGTTCTGTGTTAACAATACAAGAAACCTGGAATATAAACGCTTATCCAAAAAATAGCCCATTAGTTAGAGAAGCACAATTACATAGTGTTTACTCAATATACATTGATTAGGAGCTACTCTCTGGAAGGCTTTCAGCTGGGCAAACTCTACAATCATACAAAAATAAAAATATAATTTATAATCTAGTATTGAAGTAGTAAACTTAAAAGGGCTTCTAAACATTAATGCTTTTCTCACTTTTCTAGGTATCTCTAAAATTCTCCCAAATGTGATAAATTCTCTTGACTTCTGGTCTTTCAAGATGGAAAACCTCATGGAGTTTACTGAAATTCCTCTGGAAGAATGGGAGGGATTTGACAAAAAAATTGATGAAATGAAATCTCAGTTGGATACATTGTTAAACATTATTGTACCACAGCAAATGGAGATGGATTCAGGCTCGTAAGTATAAACCCCTTTTCATAGTTCTCTTTGTTTTTAGTGAAAATTTTTCAAAAGTTTTATCAAGATACAATTTATAACCTGCACACCAATGTTCATTACAGTACTATCTCCAATAGCAAAAGTGGAAACAACCTAAATGTCCATCAGTAGATGAATGGATAAACAAAATGTGATATATCCATTCAGTGGAATATTACTCAACCATAAAAAGAAATGAAGTTCTGATACATGCCACAGTGTGGATGCACCTTAAAAACATTATGCTGAGTAAAATAAGTCAATCACAAAAGGACAAATACTTTATGATCTCGCTTATATGAAATAGACAAATATATAGAAACCAAAGCTTATTAGTGGTTAGTAGAGGTGGTAGGGAGGGGAAAAGGGAAGTTAATATATAGGGAGCACAGAGGTTATGTTAATGATGGTGGGATAATTTGGAAAATTATATTGACAGTGGTTATACAACATGAAGAATATTATCAATGTCACTGAATTATACAGGTAAAATTTGTTGAATTGGCAGATATTTTGTGTATATTTATAAAAATGTTATATACCACAATTTAATAAAGAAAATATAATTCACATAGCATATTACTCATCAACTTAAAATATACATTGATTTTTAGCAAGTTCACAGATATGTGCAGGTATCACCATAGTCAATTTTAGAACATTTTCATCACCTCAAAAAAGAAAACTGAACCCTGTAAGCTATCATCCCCCATCCTCCCATCTCCTACCCAGCCTTAAGTAACCACCAATCTACTTTCTGTCTTTATAGATTTCCTTTCTCTGGACATTTCATATTAAAGAAATCATATAATACGTGTTTTTTGTTTTTGTTTATTTTTTGTGTGTGACTGGCTTCTTTCACTCAACTTATTACTTTCAGAATCTATGTAGCATTAATCAGTATTTCATTCCTTTTTTTTTCTTTTGTTGTGATTTAGATGTAAGTTTACAAAGCACATTCATTTTCCATGTAGCAGTTTCACATTTTGTTTCATGACATTGACTGCAATCCCCATAATTCAGCAGCTCTCTCTCTACTTCTTCCTTATGGTTACCTTTTACGTGTGTCATTCTTTCTTATGCAGCCCTGCCCTCCGAGCTGTCTCCCTGTGCAAGTACTGCCCTTCTGATCTCCTATGACTGATTATTCTAAGGAGTATACCTATCTGGGGGAGCTCTGGTAGCAAGTGCCTAAGGCACTTGACTGCTAACCAGAAGGCTGGTGGTTCAAACCCACCAGCCAGTCCTCAGAAGGAAGATTGGGCAATCCTACTTCTGTAGTGATACTGCCTTGGAAACCCAAGGAGGGGTCACTATGAGTTGGGGCCAACTAGACAGCACATAACAACAACAACAACATACCTATCTGGTGTAAATGTTCACCTTATATGCCTATCTAATGTTTGGCTGGAAACTATGGGAATGAGTTCAATTCCAGACCTGAAGGGTGACTAGGGGCCACAGTCTTTGGGGTCTCACCAGTCTGTATCAGACCAGTAAACCTGGTCTTTTTTATGATTTTGAGTTTTGTGCCACATTTTTTTTCCCACTCTATCCAGGATGTCCTGCACTGATCTCTTTCTGAGTGGTTGACAATGGTAGTTGGGCACCATCTAGTTCTTCTGGTTTCATGGTCATGTAGGCTGAGGTTCACATGTTCTACTAGGCCCCTGGACTAATTGTGTCCATGCTTCATTGGTCTTCTTCATTCATTTTTGTTCTAGGTGAGGAGAGAGCAATTGTTGCATTTAGATGACTGCTTGCAAGCTTTTAAGACCACAGTTGCTATTCACCAAAGTAGGATGCAGAACAATGTTTTTGTGTAGTATGTTATGTCGATTGAGCTTGATGTCCTCTGTGACCATGGTCCCAAGC